GTATGCGTTTCCCCCAGTGAGCCTTCTTGCACAGTTGCTGTGCAAGGTCAGGGAGGACGAGGAGCAGGTCCTGTTGGTGGCACCTTATTGGCCTACCCGGACCTGGTTCCCAGAACTAATGCTCCTCACGACAGCCCCTCCTTGGCCGATTCCTCTGAGGAAGGATCTACTGACTCAGAGACGGGGCACCCTTTGGCACCCATGTCCAGACCTCTGGAAACTTCATGCTGGTCCCTGGATGGGACGCGGAGGTTCTGAGTGACCTACCTCAAGAGGTAGTCGACACCATCACTTCAGCGAGAGCACCATCTACAAGACACGCCTAAGCTTTGAAGTGGAACCTGTTCGTTGAGTGGTGTTCTTCTCACTGAGAAGACCCCCGAATATCCCCGATCAGAGTTGTGCTGTCCTTTTTGCAGCAAGAGTTGGAGCGAAGGCTGTCTCCCTTCACCCTTAAAGTTTATGTCGCTGCAATCGCTGCTAACCACGACCCCATAGAAGGGAGGTCGCTGGGGAAGCATGACCTGGTCGTCAGGTTCCTTAAGGGGACGAGAAGGTTAAATCCTCCACGGCCCCCCTCTATACCCTCTTGGGACCTGACTCTAGTGCTCACGGCACTACAGCAGGACCCATTTGAGCCTTTGCAGACAGTTGAGCTGAAGTTCCTTTCAATGAAGTTTGCTCCTGCTGGCATTGGCCTCCATCAAGAGGGTAGGGGACCTGCATGCATTTTCGGTCAACGATTCGTGCCTAGAGTTCGGGCCGGCTGATTCCCAGGTAACCCTGAGGCCCCGGCCCGCTTCATTCATTCCTTCTACTACACCATTTCTTGTTGCCCGAAGCAGAGTCAATGATTCACTATCCATGCTATTGTCAGTGTAAATAGCTTTTCAACAAACTCACACTTTGCTGGTTTCCATTCATTTCATTTTCCACAAACAGGAAATGACCACAAGAGCCTAGGATGCCATCACCTTCTGAATTCATATCATTCTGCAGTGTATTTTGAAATGATCTACTGTGTGAACAGAGTATGACTTTTTGGAGGACGTCAAGTAAATGTGGGCAGCCCTCTGGGTTTTGTTTGACTTGTGTACATTTCTGCAGCTGGTCTAATGAAAGCTCTTCTAACTGAAGCATGATTTGCAAACTCACACCTCCTCAGAAAAGGCACTGTTGCTTTTCCTCAGCCTGCTGCAGGAATCTTGACAGGAGGTTTTCTGGTCCATGCAGATGCTTTCTAGACCAATTTCAAGCAATTTGAAATAACACATAATTATGCTTGCTTTCAAGCCAGCTCTCGCAGAGCTCTTTGGGTTTAGTCATCTTCCTCCAAAAACAGAATAGCATGGTAAAAATCTGATTACAGAGCCAAAACCAGACTTGGATAATCACATATATCTCTATATTTTCTATGTCATGTAGTAGAAACAAGTGTGCGCTTCCCTGGCAATGAACAGACTTGCATAAATGTCCCCTCCTTACCTGACAAGCATTATACAGCAGCTGGTGCTCGAACTTCTTAATGCCAAGAATCTGTTGGAACATCTCATACAGCTGGTCCTTGCTGAGAATGAGCTCGGAGGCAGCGCTGGCTGTCATGCGCTGCTGGTGTTTGCGTGGGTCTTCTTCTCCCCTGTAGATGGTGTCAAACTTGGCCATCCACGAGCTGAGGACAGTCTCCTTGCTCAGACCATCGATCTCGGGCAGGCTGCGGACACGCTTCTCAATGTGCTTCTTGAAGACCTCACGAGAGTCACTGGCTGAGCAACCGCCGCTTTGGACCATACGGGACACGCGGTCGCTTTTAAGGAACACCTGTGATCAAACACAAATCTTGTCACAGTAACAAACATACACTACTGGTTAATAGTTTGGAATAACCTCATGTTGGATGATAACAACTCCCAGCTACCCTCGAGCACATCAAAGTTCACAATAACCAGCTGAGGAGCTCAGACATGCTGCATGGGGTTGGTAAGATTTTTTAAAGTATTATTTGATGAATAGAAAGTTCTTGTTGTAAAATTATATGTGTTTACTCAATTTAATGCATCCTTCCTAAGTTAATTGTTAAATTATTAATTTCTTTCACACACACACACACACATACATACATATATATATATATATATTCCGCATGAGAAGAGTTTCTTCAGGGTAAGGTCGTCGTCTCAAAATTAAAGATATATAAAATAAATATATAATATTAATATAAAATATATATTAATATAAAATTAAAGAATCAAGGACTGGAACTAATCGTTTTATAAATATATACAATAATGAAAATTGTAGTGTTTTATTTAAAAAGTCACATTATATTCACATTTAAATATTCTTAAATACTTAAATATTTTTAAACTCAACGCCACAATTTCTTTAAAATCCAAATTGCACTATTCAACAGTTATTTATATTCAATATATTCAGATTCCCATATGCAACAGCATCAGATCTACAGTTTATGTTAGATATGCTGTATTTCTGATGCATTTTGTGGTATACACACACACACACAGACACACACACATATATATATATATATATATATATATATACATACTATATACACACACACACAGAGACAAGCTCAAGCCATCAATCTTAACAGCCACAGATTCATGTATGATCTGAATAAAGGGATGAGCTCAGAGAATCAGAGGCCAAGGCTGCTTCTATCAATTCCAAGTAAAGCAATTTTTCTGGGTTCAAAAAACATTGGCTGCAGGTCAGTGCTACCTTGTTAAACGGTTATTGAGGCACTTGAGAAACACTTTGTCCTAAATTAGGCAAGATTTTCCCTGTGTCATAAAGTGCACAGTAGAGTCCTGATTTGTGACCCTGGACCACAAAACCAGTCATAAGGGTAAATTTCTCGAAATTGATATGTATACATCATCTAAAAGCTGAATAAATAAGCTTTCCATTGATGTATGGTTTGTAAGAATATGATCATATTTGGCCAAGATACAACTATTTGAAAATCTGGAATCTGAGGGTGCAAAAAAATCAAAATACTGAGAAAATCGCCTTTAAAGTTGTCCAAATTAAGTTCTTAGCAAAGCATATTACTAATCAAAAATAACATTTTGATATATTTACGTTAGGAAATTTACAAAATATTTTCATGGAACATGATCTTTACTTAATATCCTAATGATTTTTGGCATAAAAGAAAAATCGATAATTTTGACCCATACAATGTTTTTTGGCTATTGTTAAAAATATACCTCAGCGACTTAAGACTGGTTTTGTGGTCCAGGGTCACATTTATAACAAGACAAAATTGGTGTGAATCTGGCAGTGCAGAATCTGTCTGACAGTCTGCAGTAGGGTTTAAGGCTATATTTATTTAATAATCTATTCTTTCACTCTTTTTATTTTCTGTATTCTCTCACCGGTTCACCTCTTGTATTTTTATCTCGGCCTACCTCTCTCCAGTGGACACAATTCCCTTAACGTGCCTGGATAAGCAGGGGAGATGAGTTGACAGAGAGGGAACATCCAGCACAAATTCAATAAGAGTATCAGGGTTTAATTGAATTGAAAAAGCTGGCTTTGGCTGTGACTGAATACAAAGGCATTTCGCTCATTAGTTTCACCTCATTAAATTACCACCCATACTGAGACCAATCTCCTTTTCACCCAAAACTCTTGCCTGTGTGACAATTTATTCCAGATTCACCTCTTCTAGGTCATAAAAGATTATATATCACCTAAAATACAATTAAAATGTGTCACTTTGAGACTACATATTTATCAGAGAGGAAAGTTTCACTAAATCCTTTGCAAGGACTTAATACCTTCAACATCTTGAGCTAAAGTAATTTCAAACATTTAACAGATTGACTGCAACTGTATACTTATGTATTTAATATACAGTATGCACCGACATGGATTACGCTGCTCATCAAATCAGCATAAAGCAAACAGCTTAACATTTCTAAACAATCCTAAATTTAAACTGGATTATATTAATGGGAGAGACAAAGGATCTGTTTAGATGTCCTCAAAAGTTAACTGAAGGCACCTAACTGAGCATTCAAAAGCACTTTTATCTGCACAAAATAAAGCTTAATGATGCGCCAAATCATTTCTTCTGCTGTTTGTGTTTTGTTAACTCTCATTTAGCTTCAAACATCCAACACACTGGCCTTGGGCTCTATAATGACACTTATTGGCATGCAACATCACAAAAAAGCATTATTAGTTGCTAACGCCATTGCAAAAATACACTATTATATTTATTATGCTACCAAAAGTTAATAGGGGGGTTACCAAGTATCCATGGTATCAACATGGCAGACCACTCCTGTGTAGAATAAAATTGATTTTTTTTTCAGGTCGCTGATATGACTTGAATTTTCTCATGTGTGAGAGACTTTCATGAAAGTAATATTCACAAAAGTATATTTCACAAAATTTCATTTTTTACTGTAGTTTCGATAAAATAAATGAAGCCTTGGTGAGCATAAGAGACTTCTTTCAAAAGCATGAAACAAAAAACTTACCAACCCCAAACTTTTGATCGGAAGTGTACAGGGTTTGCATACACAGGATTTGACATTATAAAGCTAACTGAGAAAACCAGTTGAAAGATGAGCTAGTTTGTAAGTTCACACTTGTTGCACTGATGAATAAATAGAGCCTAACCTCGTAGTAACTTTGGACAGCGTTGATGAAGGCTTCATCGGCTACAATCTGAGTCTCTCCATTCAGAAAGGCCTGGAAACGATCTTTAACTGTCTGAAGGTGCTGCTTGCTGATCTGAGAAGAGAAGAGAAAACATCAGAAATACAGAATTTGAAATATAGTATGTATTTATATTCCATGTGACATCAAAGTAAAAAAAAAAACATCCAGATGTTAACCTCATCTGATCTGAGAAGAGAAGAGAAAACATCAGAAATACAGAATTTGAAATATAGTATGTATTTATATTCCATGTGACATCAAAGTAAAAAAAAAAAAACATCCAGATGTTAACCTCATCTGATCTAGCTTGGAACATCTTCATTCATAGGAGGAAAATATGGAAATGGCAATGTAGTCATTTGGTGACCAGGGGCTGGATTCACAAAAAAATAAGAAATTTTTGTCTTAAGAAAAAAGAAATTTCTCAAAATTAAGAACTTCTTATTGCAATTTTTCAAATGGACCATTGACACTCTATCTACAATCTCAATTAGGAGTGTCAATGGTCCATTTGAGAGATAGGGGGCGGTAATGCACTTATAAGTCTGCGATCTGCCGTAAAGCAAGAAGAAGAAGAAGAAGACGCGTCACCCGCCGGCTGTCGAGGATGCGCTCAGGACAGTTCAGACATTGCAGTGCATCAGAAGTAAAAAACGATATAAATACTGTTCAGTTTCTTGCACAGACCGACCGTTTCATGTCTTTACACATCAATGTATCGTCACGAGCCACAGGGTTTAATTTGGTTTTGTTTATGTTTTTTTTTTTACTCTCAAAGCCGTGATTGCTATTGACTTCCATTATAAGACTGACAGACTGCAACGGTTTAAGTTAAAAATCTTCATTTGTGTTCTACTGAAGAAACAAAGTCACCTACATCTTGGATGCCCTGGGGGTAAGCAGATAAACATCAAATTTTAATTTTTGGGTGAACTATCCCTTTAAGAAAAACTTTTTTTCTTACAAAGAAAATTCCTGGCTTTAGTGTTATCTGATTGTATGGCATTTCTAGCCAAATACTTGCTGATCAACATCTTACTTCTTAAGCTTTTATAAAGATAAGTGTTTTGAGAATACAATATATTCTTAACTTTTTTAAGTAAGATAATAAGAAGAAAATAGCTATTAAGAAAAGTATTTAAGATTCTTTCATGAATCCAGCTCCAGAATTACTCAGCAAATTTTACAATTGACTCATTCAGTAGAAGTTGGAATATGTTTTCATTCTGGTTTGACTTAAGATCAGTTTAAATTTCACTTAATGTGAAACGCATTAAGTGAAACAAAACATTTTATGAAGAGGTGATTGTGACCCTTGAACCACAGAAAAACAAAAACATAATAGCAACAGACTTTTTCCCACTAAGTATTAGACCTCTTGCCAATTTCACATAGCAAAAATAGATCATATTTCAGCCAAGAGGCCACATAAAACCTCTAGACAACTGAGAATGAGAGACACTGGCCATTTCAAAACACTTCTCATCCATCTGGACAGAGACTCGATTTGGAAGAAATGTGAAACAAGCATCTAGATTACAGTGATTGCCCACAGAGTGCTGCAGATGCTAATGAGTTTTGCTCATTATATTGATATGAAACGATGCATTTTATGTTTGGATGCTTGGGTTTTAACAGTTAAGCTTTGTCTGATTTCCCTAATGTTTTCAGAGCTCTTTTCATGTTCTGCTTAGCTGGTATTCATGTTCCATTTGTGACACTAAGGTGTTCTCCACTTTGCTCATATTCACAACACACAAATTATTAAGAGGCTAAGAGGAGACCAAATCTCTTGTCTCATAACCGAGTCAGGGAATTGATAATCATAAGCTTATCCCATGTTCCACTCCTCCCTTGTGTTTTTTTCTCCTGCCATAAGAATTTAAAAGTAAAATAAGCCATTCAGTATAAAATTTGGGTTTTACTGAGAGTTACAATTAAATACAGGCAAAGAATGAGATCGATTTGATGTTATTGTGCTATAGGAGGAAGTTCTGGCTTCTTGAATCCAACTTGTGGATGAAATAAATATAAATGATTCATAATAGGACAAAAATAACATATTGACAATAGCCATAGGTGACTCATCGCTTAGTCCTTTTCAACAAAGAAGGTTAGTTACACAGTTGGCCTTGATATAAGTGGCACAAAACAAGAAGAAAAGATAGAAATGATAGCACAGTGGTTGTAACATTGAAACATTCAAGAGAACTTGTAGTAAAGAAAGGATATGTACTTCAGACCTTTGTTCTAATCTGAAGCATTGTGGGTCATTTTATACAACTAATGCTGCTCGAATTCCATTTTACTTCTGAAATGGCAAATTTCCAAGTGCACCAGAATACTGGATGAAGAAAAAAAACGTGGTTAGAACTGAAAATGTTAAACATTTTTTAAATAAATGTATATCAACAAATAGTTCACAATTTTTTCATATTGAAAAGATGCTATGCAATGGTTTGCTTACAGTTTCTTGGTCATTTTCTTGGTTTCTCTTGAATACAAACACGAGCACACTCTGAATTGTTAATCAGAAGGTCAATGTAAACACAATTTCCTTTTAATTTCACCATTGTTTTAACTCAATGAGATGCTGCATTTAGTTAATTTTCTTTTGTTTGTCACACCTGACCGGTAAACAACAGCGGGCCTTTGATATGTTAGTGCGCCCACCACCAGGGTCTCAAACCATATGGTCTCTGTTTTCAGCATGGAGATCTGTGTGTGTGTGTGTGTGTGTGTTTATGTGAATGTTGGACATCCTTTTAAAATCCCAGGTGTTCCTTCTCATCAAATATGTTGCCATGGTCACAGAGTATGCATAAACACACCCCTTACCCCATTATCCCCTCTCAGCTTATCCAACAGCATGACCTCATGACTATGAGATGCAGCTGCATTAGCTCCAATACTCCCATGGTAACTGCTGGAGTGATTATAGTGGATAGGTTGATGTAGAGCAATTAAAGTGTATCCTCTAAACACTCATCGTAATGTTCTCTCTACGTCACCATGACAATGCGCGCCAGTAGACTCCTACATTGCTAACCTCATTACTGATAGCATACTAACATATTGGTGTGATATAGGGCAGAAACAAATTCAGCTGAAAGTACAGTATACTACAGTATATATACTAGTTGAGTGCAAATATATTAGCATACTACTGCTATTTGCACCATGTATGACAGAAACAAGAGATAAAGGTTCTAATTCTGCTAAAATATACCATGTTAATATGTTACTCTTATTTGTGCCATATATACCAGAAATAATATAAGAAAAGGCTAGCATGCTATTACACATTAAGCCAACATACACTAGTAGTACGCTAATACTACTCCAGCTTTTTCTGCCATATATGGCAGAAATAAGAGAAAATGCTAAATGCTATATGATACTATTTATACAAGCAGTTCGCTAATATACAAGCATATATATATATATACACTATATACTGTTGTTTTTGCCATTTACAACAGAAACAATAAGGGTAGTATGCTATTTTGACATTTCCAAATCACCCGAAGTATAAGCACGTTAATGAAGATTTCATTTTTGGGTGAACTATCCCTTTAAATTTAAGGGATGTTCACCCAAAAATAAAAATTCTGTCTTTAATTACTCACCCTCATGCCGCAGTTCAATGTAAATGTATTTCAGTCCTCACACTGCTATTCCTAAAATATACATAAAAGTCAGCCTAAACTCTGTTGATCTAATGTAGCTTGTTTCCAACACCACAGCTGGCACAGCTAAGGTTTTAAAAATCATATCAGTGTTGAATATCTAAGGTGTGCAGTGTAATAAATAAACAGCCTGTCACCGGAGACTCTCATAACGAATAGTCTTGGAATTAATGATTGAGCAGAATTTAATTGGAAGCCTTTAATGAATCATTCACCTCTTCTGCTCCTCCATCCCTCATTCATTCCGGCCAGTCCTTTCCTCTTCTTTATTTCTTTGGAAATGACAAATTTCCTCCCTGTAAAGATTAAACTATCATGTTATTAAACTTCAGGTTATGGCTATTTTACTGCTGTTGGCACACGCTGGTGCAGCTGGAGCGCCTAGGCTGCAATAAATACAGCTAATGACTCTCACACTCTCCGTTCAGACACCAGTTCGCAAACTGTTATGTTCCAACACACAAGCTAAATAAAGTACAGTAGTCCAGTTTGGTATACAGTCTCTTTATGTGCTAACAGTAAAACTGCTATGGGCTACACACATACAACCTCAGATCCACCTCACACCTGCCTGTTGCTGGTTACTATAGCAACTGACAAAATGCAGGCCCTTGTCTTTGAATCCATGGGTAGTAATTTACTAACACAGACACGCACAGGCTAGCTACAATACTAGATAATGATGGTAAATCCTGGGTTGTATCAATCTGTTAAAACCTTACGTGCATCCACAGTGTTTTCCTCCACTGGAGTGGGGGTGGGGACATATGGGGGGGAAGGGAAGCTTATGTGATTGAACAGAAGACTAGAAAAAGTCCATGTTGTGGGGATGTAAATAAAAAATTAAAAAAATACTAAGCTAAAGCTAAGCTTACAATTGATTCCTGTTGACTTTATTAGAGTTGACCTAAGCCCTGTGCTCAAATCATCTGTTTAGGAGAGTTTTTCAACATGGTCTATATAAATTGTTGATCTTTATAGTGCATGCTCCCATTAAAGTGCCAGTACTCGATGTGACCTTCTTAGTGTGGATGCTAGAAGTGCATAATTCCAGCAAGTGCTCTTCGACAGAGAGCTGTTTTTCACAGAGCGCAGTCTCTGCTTTCCTTCACACTCAGCAGAGCGTCACATTTGGTTTTGTTCGACAGGAGAGTCAGCATCCCATGTCTGTTCCTTTTTTTGCTCTGTTTACCAGTGAGAGAGACGAAGACAGTAATGAGCTGGAGAGAGAGAGAGCTCGTGGGACAGAAGAAAGGCTTTCCAAATGTCACTCAGTCAGAATGCAAGAATGTATTGTTTGAGTCATAAGATTTACTGTACAATAAGGAACTTCAAAATGATGCAATTTCAAGCATGTATAGTTTCTAAGAACATACTGTATGA